TGGTGCATGCCTGTGATCCCAGCACTCAGGAGGTTGAGGCAGAAGGCTTGTTATGACTTCAAGGCCAGCCTGAACTGCATAATGAAACTCTGTCTCAAAATAACAAAAATAATGCAGCTGGGAATTTAGCTCAGTGGCTCAAGTGTTTGTCTGGTAAATGCAAGGTTGTGAGTTTGATCCTCAGTACCCAAAAGAGAGAGGGAGGGGGAGAGAGAGAGAGAAATAAGTAAATAAAATCCATATTCATGTAAAATTTGAAGTCAGGAAGTACAATCTAATCTATAGGGAGTGATTTAAATGGTCATTAAGTTGACACAACAGTACTTCTCAACTGAAAACAAATGCCTTTCATCAGTTATAGGGTTTGATTAACCATGAGGAAGCCAAAGCATGTGACTCTACATGGGGCAATATAAAAATCCAGAAAATTATTATGGCATTTAAATAGGCAACAGAGCCCAAGCATGGAGGAATTACAATCCCAGCACTTTGGAGGCTGAGGCAGGAGGACTGTCATGAGTTTGAGGCCACCCTAAACTACACAATAAAACCTATCTCAAAAGACAACATGTATGCACATGCGCGCGCACACACACACACACACACACACACACACACACAGAGACTGAGGGACCACCTACCCAGGATTCAAGTATTAGGTGGACGGCTGGACTCCATAAACACTGCTGCTGTTTCAAAGAACCTGAGACTTTGATTCTGTTTCCCAATTCTTGTAAACACTGCCACTGAATTAGCTGTCTGTCTAAGTCACTTAGGATGCAATGGCAACTTCGACTCACCAAAGCACCAGTATAGCAAACATACCGAGGCTTTGAGACATATAATTCAAGCATCAAACACCCAAGGAATTGGACAATGTACTGGTGTTTTATAGGTTCGATGAGTACTGCAAAAATTGCATAAAATACATAAAAATCTTGCCAGGTATAAAGGGTTGTGCAATCCTAGCACTCAGGAGGCTAAAGAAGAAAAGTGCCATGAGTTTAAGGTCAGCCTCAACTACGCAATGAGATCCTGTCTCAAAAAACAAACAAACAAAAAACCAACCAAACAAAAATCTTTAGCAAAGGAGTAAGGTATTGCTAGACACTGGCATTATTATGCATTGGATACACAATTATTTGTAACATAACTATCTCCTTTTGGCTTGTTAGCAGATACGGTCACTCTCATAAACTGTCTCCCCGCTACCTCCCTGTACATATGTCTATGGTATATGTATGTCTCTTTCTTTTTTATTTATTTATTTTTTTTGTTTCCTTTTTTCCAGTACCAGAGATCGAACTCACGACCGCCTGCTTGCAAGGCAGGTGCTTATGCCACTGAGCTAAATCCCCAGCCCCCATATATGTCTCTTTCAAAGACACAGTGGCCCTTAGACTTGGTAGAAGAAACACTGAATTTCATAAAAGAAATACCCACTAAATCTACCTTGAGACTATCACTTTACAGACTGAGCAAAATCCAAAGTTTTATTCTGTTAGCAAGATGGTGGGGAAACAGGCATTCTCTGAGTATAAAATGGTACAACCCCTGTGAAGGACAATTTGGTGATATGTATCAATATTCTGCATGCATATAACCTTGACCTACCAACTTAACTTGGTGAAATTTATCCCTGCTGATGCACTTACAAAGAAACAAAATTGCAGGCTGGGGATTTAGCTCAGCCGCATAAGCACCTGCCTTGGAAGCATGCAGTCATGAGTTCGATCCCAGTACCAATAAAAAAAGAAACAAAATTGCAGACTATTTATTGAGGCATATTTGCTAAAAATCACTCATTGTCTACCAATACAGAATTGGTTAAGTAAATTATTTAAATACTATGTAGTTAAAAATACCTTTTTAAAAGAATGAGGAAATTCTCCTATAACAGAAATTACTCAGATATATTGAATGAAAAGTATGTACTGCAACTTGGTATTGTGTTTCATGCCCACGACCCCAGCTCTCTGAGAGGCTGAGGAAGGAGACTCTCAAGTTTGAGCCCAGTCTGGGAAACTCAATAACTAAACAAGAGCCCAACAAAAATAAAATGTAAAAAAGATAGTAGCAGTTCAGTGCAAAGACTCTGAGCTCAATCTCCAGTATAAGGGAAAAAAAGAAAAAGAATGCACTATATTCCCCCTAAATACATATAACACTCTGAAAGATACACACAAAACCAAAACCGGGGGTTACTTTTGGGGAACAGAAGACAGCTGGGAACATAGCATAGGAAAGGAATAAGAATGAGATAAAAGATTAGGGAGTGGCCAAACTGGGTGGGGAAGTAGGCGAGAAGTGTTAATGCAAAATCCCACAACAGGCAGACAGTAATTTCCCAAAGTCCTGCACCTGGACTTCTCTCCAGAACGTCACTCCGTTTTCAATATGATGGCCTAGACATGACATCACCAGCCTGTGGCATGGGATCGTAGCACTGCCTCTTGGGATGATTTCTTTGAGATTTGGACAACACACAAGGATGCAGACACATGAGGCACCCCCTACTGTGAGTTTCTTCATGGTGGCTTGCTCTGCTTTCTCCAGGGTGTCCTTTCATTGCTTTTTCTCCTTTTACTCTGCCCAAGCTTGCTCGGCACAGCCAGTTTCTCCCTCACCCTTCACTTTTACATTCTTGGCCACTGCTTTTTGCTCATTTTGTTCCATTCTTTGAGACAAAAAGAACCTCCCTTTCCAGAAGGAGAGGCAAGCAACCCAGAACCCGGGAACATAAATTTGGTGAGCCACTTTTAGAAAGAGTTACCTGAGGGCTGGGGATTTAGCTCAGCTGCATAAGCGCCTGCCTTGCAAGCAGGGATTTGTGAGTTCCATGCCTGGTACTGATAAAAACGAAACACACACATACACACACACACACACACACACACACACACACACACACACAAATCCTGCTAGAAAGAGTTACCTGGTAACAGGACAAGATGTTTTACTATAAGTCTTTTTATACTGTTTAAAGTTTTAAATCAAGGGCTGGGGATTTAGCTCAGCGGCATAAGCACCTGCCTTGCAAGCAGGCGGTCGTGAGTTCGGTCCCCGGTACCGATAAAAACGAAAAAGACAAAAAAAAAAAAAAAAAAAAAAAAAGTTTTAAATCAAGTCACCATATTGTCATTTCACAAATTTTAATCGGAATTGCTTTTCATTTAAAATGGGTATGGTATGTCCATATAATGGCTTATTCAGAAAAACTAAGAAATGAGACATTAACAACAGATATTTACAGCCTTATATGTCTAATGTTAAGTGAAAGAAGCCCATCTGAAGAGTTTACACATTGCATAACCCCAACTACAGGATATTCTAGAGGCAAATTTTGAGACAGTAAGATTAGTGATTGCAAAGGGATGAGGGACAAGGAAAGAGATAAATAAGTAAAGAGGAATACTGTGTGTGTGTGTGTGTGTGTGTGTGTGTGAGAGAGAGAGAGAGAGAGAGAGAGAGAGAACATCGAGGATTGAAGCTAGGACCCTGCACATGCTAAGCAAGTGATTTATCAGTAAGTCACATCCCAGTCCTTTTTTAAAAACTGTATTTTGAGACAGAGTCTTGCTAAACTTCCCAGTCTGTCACCTGTAATTCTCAACCTCCAGAGTAGCTGGGATTACGGGTGCACACCAACATCTTGGACACAAAGGGTTTTGTTTTATTTTTTTTTCAAATTTTTTTTTTTTGTCTTTTTTCCTTTTTATTGGTACTGGGGATTGAACTCACGACCGCCTGCTTGCAAGGCAGGTGCTTATGCCGCTGAGCTAAATCCCTAGCCCCCACAAAGGGTTTTTTAGGACAGTGAAACTATTCTATTTGATTTTATATTGATGAATACATGGCACTATCAATTGTCCAAACACACAAAACTGTGCAACATAGAGTGAATCTTAATGTAAAGGTTTTCATTAATAGTAATTTATGGAGATTAGCTGATCAATTTCAACAAATGTGCCACACTAATGCAAGATTTAAATAACAGGAAAAACTTCATAGGGGAGAACAAACGTAGGTATAAAAGCACTCTGTACTATCTGCTCAATTTTCTGTAAACTTAAAACTCCTCTAAAAATTAAGCTTATGGGGGGCTGGGGATTTAGCTCAGCGGCATAAGCACCTGCCTTGCAAGCAGACAGTCTTGAGTTTGATCCCTGGTACCGATAAAAATGAAAAAAAAAATTAAGCTTATGATTTTTTTTTATAAATGTATATACGAGGACCTAGAGTTTAGCTCAGCAGCACAAGTACCTGCCTGGCAAGCGTGAGGTATGAGTTTGATCCCCAATGCAAAATAAATAAATACACATGTGTGCATATGTAGATGTGTCTTTTTTTGAGACAGGGTCTCACTATGCAGTTCAGGCTGGCCTTGAACTCACTATGTAGCCCAGGCTGGCCTCGAACTCTCCACAATCTGCCTCAGTCTGTCGAGTGCTGGGACTACCCACAGCACCACCAGGCCTGGCACAAGTTGCCTCTGTAGTCTTAGTTTCTCCATCTATAAAATGAAAAAAAGTACTGTAATTCCTCCTAGGGCTGTTGAGATGATTCGCATAAAGAATTCTACATGGAAAATGCTTAGCACAGAGCCTAATATAAAAGGAAAGCTAAAAATGTTAGCTACCACTATAACGGTAAACTGATTATTCATGGAATGACTGATTTGACACTTCAAGTTACAAGGTTACTAATTCTACTACCAGCATTTCAATAATATCCTAACAGGGCCCCAAATTCTCGTTTCCACTTTGAACATAACCCGCAGTGCCCACACACTTCCGATATTCTTTACTCCCAGATACTACTTTCCCTCCTACTGGGCCTTACATTGACTCTCAGGCCCTAAAACACCCCGTCGCTCTCGCAGCAACCTCCCCATCCCACCTGGACCCGTTAACACTCAAACCTCGACCCGCCTCCGCACCAGACCCCAGCTTAACTCGTTCCCACTTCTTTCCCTTCCCAGAGTTGAAGGAAGTTCCTACCCAGATACTCGTAGTCAGGTTGGGCTAGGCGCTCGGGGCTCAGCATCCTTAAACCCCGGGAGCTTCCAGGCTGCCGTTCTCCGGCTTCCGGAAGCCAGATTGTAGGCTCTCTCGGTTGCCATGGCACCCAGCCTGCGGGAGGAGAGATGCAGGCGGAGGGGTTGTCTCGCATACAGCCTCCGTGCTGCAACAGCGAGCCGGCCAAGCAAGTTCCGGGAGCAGTCGCTTCGCGGCGGCCGGGGTTTCGTGGGACTCTCATCCTTGAGAAGTTGGCTTTAGAGCAATCGGAGGTGGTGAATCCTTTTTGAATCTGTCATATTTCCTGATTTCGAAGAATTCCTGCCAGCCATCCATATCCGCAATTTCTGATTTTAATAACCATTTCTGTTTTATTTAGCTCATCCTAATTCACAATATTTCCACCCATCATCTCTCTTAAACACCCAGATCCTAGAACCTATTTTTATCCTTTTGCTAAATTACTACAAAGTGCTTTTACGTGCGTATTATATTACGGTTGCTTCTTGTGTCTTTTAGCCTGTAATAGGATTGGACATACAAAAAACGTTCATTAAGTCTTCTGTGAGTTAATTGCCATTTCCTGCCAAATTCCTCTTTATCTTAGACCATCCTCCTACTGCTGTCCCTTACTATTTGATCCTTTCCCCAAGTGTCTTTCCTTTTTTTTTTTTTTTTTTTTTTCCACTTCTGGAAGGGAAGAGTGCACAAATAAGGACACCTATTACATGTTCCCCAACGTGCCAAACAGCTGCTCTCCTGTCTTGTATGGGGAGAGCGCACTCTTTGGCTTCCAGCTTCCCAGATGTCTCCCTCTTTATTCCTCTCCACTCCACAGGTCAGAGATCTGTAGCAATTGTCAGAGTGCAAACCTAGCAGAAAAAGAGGCGCTCTGTCCTCTCATTTTTAGTAAGTGCCCGCCCCCTCCAGCAAGGTATCAGTCAAGTTTTGTGAAAAAGGAAGAAAGAAAACCAAAATCGTACCATCAAAGGAGTGACCGGGAAACCAAGAAACCACCTCCACTGGGAAGAGAGAGAAGAGAAGGTTCTTTTCTTTGTGTTGTGAGTGATCTATTCTTAGCCTTCTCCAACAAGGAGCCTCAAACCCCTTAATTCTCCCTTTCCCTTAAAATTGTATATGTGTCTCAATTCCAGGCTCCTGTGAGTCATTCTTGAGTTTGGATGTGGTGAGGAGAAAAAGACAGAGCCAAACTAGGAGCAGTGTTGAGTATTTCAAGGTAATGAATTTACTCATTTGGAATTGGATGTGAAGTCTTGTAAATTTGACTAAAAAATACTGCCTTCCAGCGCTTTCCCCCTGGCTCCTTGGGGGTACAGGAGTTCTGTAAGTTTCATATCTGTGGCTTATTATGATACTATTAACAAGGTAAAAGGATAGTAATCACTTTTCTTTGTTTTTAGAGACAGGGACTATGTAGTTCAGGCTGGCCTTGAACTTTTGACAATCCTCCTGCCTCGGCCCCCTAAGTGCTATGGTTATAGGCAAGCCCCAGCACACCCAGCTATAGGAGAATAATTACTAAAGATCACTTACTTTATTCCCAAACAACCTGAAGCTATCTGGAGATAATTTTATATATCCTCATGAAAATGGTCTAAGGCACTTTTCTCTTTTCTAAATAGGAAAACTGAGGCACAGGTCACAGAAAGCATCTTGTCTGGTATATTGCCTCCATCCAGTCAGTGGGAGAGCTGGAACTGGATCTCAGCTATCCCAACATCCAGATTAGTGGCCTGACCACTAAACCACATAGCCTCTTTTTTTTAGAGGCTGTTGGCTCAGTGTTTATTTATTTATTTTTCCTTTTTCTCTTCCATGTTAGCAGTTGGAAGCTCTTAGATAAAGAGATAATTTTGCGTTAGGGAGAGAACATCTGACATGCTCTTGTTTTTAAAGCATTATCCTGGGACTTGGAGGGTACTGCTATTGGGGTCTGTGTGGTGCGGCTGGGAACCAGCCCCAAGAATATAGCTCTGTTCAGGCATTAACCCATTTGCGGTTATAATAATGATAAGTTTCAGCACCAGTGGCGCCCGACTGTTAATGACTCAAAGAAAGCTAAATAAGAACAAGATGTCATCTCTGGAGCAATTTGTAGGTTTTTTCCCTACAGTTCTATATCCTTCCATAAAAACCCTAAGTGCCATTATATTTAGTCAGTCTTCTACTTTGATGTCCTGGACAATCTATAGAGGAGTCAGAATGGATAGGATGTTGCAAGATTAAAACTTCAAGATGTGAGGTTTAACAAAAGTAACAGGTAGGTTTCTTCTTATGTCTTGCATCTTCACATTTTTCTACATTCTTAAGGTTTTCTATAATGACCATGTATAATAGTCTCTTTTATTTTTTGTACCGGGGATCGAACTCACAACTGTGCGCTTATGCCACTGAGCTAAATCCCCTTGAGCATGTATTATAATATGAAATCAAGCCAGTTGTGGGGTGTGGTGACTCACACCTGTAATCCCAGCACTCGGGAGGCTGAGGTGGGAGGATCATTGCAAGTTTGAGACCAGCCAGGGCTACAAAGTGAGCTCAAGGCCAGCATGAACTGCATAGCGAGACCCTGTCTCAAAAAGACAAAAAAAAAAAAAAAAAAAAAGAAATCAAGCCAGTCAATGAGTGACACACAAGTCTTTAAAATATTTTCAGGAAGATGTGATGATATTCCAGATAATGTTTGTTTTTCTCAAAAAGAAGCACTACTTTCAGACTTTCTCCTGTCACAGATTATATAATGGCAGATTTTGACAACGCATTGGTTTAGAGGGAAATTTTTCAGTGTAACACAAACATCAGTCTTAAGAAAAGGAAAATACTCAAAAGTTTTAAAATCGAGTATATTTATGGGATCCTGTCTGAATGTTAATGAAAGAAAAAAATGTCAGCCTAAAATATAAATGAATTTTCAGGTTCCTAAATCATCATTTTATAAATTTACCAGTACAATACCCAGCAAACCAATAAATCAGAAGACAACCCCATAATCTTGAACAGAAGCAAGTCATAAGAAACTGATCAAAAGTAGATAAAGGCCAAGGATGTAGTTCCGATGTAGAATGGCTAATACAGCTAATATTTGAGGCTCTGGGTTCAATGTCCAGAACAAAAAAAAAAAAGTAACATGTTCAGTACAGAACTACAATATGAATAATGGAAACATCAGACTCATAACTATGAGGAAAACACCCATAGCTGAGAATATGTTGACATGTTAATTTATTATAGTTTCTGATTTTATAAAGAAAAAAAATTCATAGAAATCTTAAATCAATAGGTAAGAGCTGGACCTGGTGGCTCACACCTGTGACCCCAGCCCTTGAGGGGCTGAGGCAGGAGGATCGTTGCAAGTTCAAGACCAGCTTGAGCTACAAACTGAGCTGAAGGCCAGCCTGAACTACATAGCGAGACCCTGTCTCAAAATGAAAAAAAAAATCAATAGGGAAGAAAATCCTCCCTGTAACTGAAGACTACAGAAAAGCAAATATGAATGTACTAAATAGTTTTAAACCTCAAGGAAACAATAAAAGAGAAGATGCAGGCTGAATTATTGCTACCAAACAGGTTCAGTGTAACTAGGACAAGCTTTTATCAACTCATCAAGCAGAAAAGATACTAACAGCAAAGTAAGAAATGCTGGTCATGAAATTCATGCCAAGCTGCTAGTCTCTTCTGTAAAAACTTATCTTCCCTGAGAGTGAAACAGGAACTAAGGATAAAGCCACTGTCTGAGGTTAATGTGTTTCTATTAAAAATGTTAGCTGCAGAAAAGTCATTCAGAACTGCCACAAATCCACAGAACAGCCTGGGGAAGGAAATCTACAAGAAAAGAAAATTCTCACAAACTCTTGGGCTGTAAAGAATCACTAATGTAAATAGCCAGGGATATAGCTCAATGGCACAGTGCCTGTCTAGCAAGCACAAGGTTGTGAGTTTGATTCCCAGCACCAAAAGAAAAAAAAAAAAGAAAGAAAGAAAGAAAGAAGGACTAATGCATTATAAGAAAATGGTTAAGAGGATATGGCTTAAATTGAATTGGAGCTCAAAGGCAATTACAGATTTGTAATTGCTTGTTTTATATTTTCAAAAAATGCAAAAAGTTGGGAGTTACACTTTCATATAGTTTGAAAGGTAGAAAGATTTTATGATTCTTCTTAGTATTCCATGAAATTTCATTAAATCTTTTGCTGTCCTAGAGAATAAAGTTTTATAAGCAGTTATGTCTATGTTTTTATTATTTTCTGATATTCCAGATTGTGATTTTCTTGTGGGCAAAGACAGTTTTCATTCATCTTTATAGTCCTAGAATCCTGCATAGTATCTGGCAGAAGACAGATATAAGTGCCTGCTAAATGCATTTTCTCCCTTCTAGATTAAAAGTCTAAAAAACAAAGCATCCAATACACAGGATTTATGGTTACCTCATAGCAACCAATTCATAAACAAATTGATTACACAAAAAAGACAGAAAAATGCTGAGTGTGATTGTGCACAAATGTTGTCCTGGCCACTTAGGATGCTGAGGCAAAAGGATCACTTGAGCTCAGAAGTTCAAGAGCAACCTGGTCAACATAGCAAGTTAGGAAGGAAGCAAGGAGTCAAAAATTAAACAGAAAAGTACACCTAGAAGAGGGTGTGGTAGACTGCCATGTTAAGAAATATTTCCCCCAAAATATCAAGTAACACATCAAAAGACTTACAGACAGTGCTGCATGCAGACAAGTTAAAAGAATTAGTTCATGAGAATGAGAGAGGGAAAATTCGTTCAGAAGAATGGAAAAAATTGTTAAATCAATTTAGGATATGAACTGGGAGCTCTGCACTTCAAAATCTTAGAACAAAACTCTGGAGGTGCTGTGTTTACTCTCTCCCAAGTCATCCTCTACATTATCCCAAGAGTTTGCCCTCCATTCAAAGTCATCCATGTTATCTCCATTCTGAAAAGTGTTGCTGACTCACCGTTACTAGGATGAGGCAAAATTCTTTAGCACACAGACACAAACATCTCTTCAGGGTTTGGTCCCAACCTCTCGTTCCAGTCTTCCTGTCTCACTCTTCCCACTTCCTGCTCAGTATTCCCAAACATGCTGACTTCTCTCAGTAAACAGCCCCTTTGGCATAAACCTCCTCCGTGCTTCCGCCTAGTAAACGACACCATCTCTAAGACAGGCTAAATGTCACCACTTCCATGAAACCTAATCCAAATTCCCAAAGAGGCAGTGGCCACTTGAT